TTGGGACATGGGCTGTCTTTACAAGTACAGAGGTGTAATTATACATTTTAACTTTTCAGAACTATAATATTCCACGACTAACCTGTCTAGAGTGAAGTAGAATTCTGAGAATGTTGCTGTGGACAGTGAGACACCCATGCAACGGTTTATATGTCTATAAAGTCAGAATTGGATGTTATCCCAGTTTCACTTAGGCAGCTAAGTGCTTCCTGTTTCTGTTGCTTGACAGTATTTGGAATAAACAACCCATCTTTTATTCTTGTTCTTGGTAACCACTTGGCACATGTTAGCTTTGCATGTTGAGTAGGGCATCAGTATTTAATCACCAAGGCACCTAGTCCAAGCCCTGTGGCATCTACCAGTTTGTCAGGTAACAAAACCCAAACCTAGTACTGAGAAAGACTTTTCTGTTTAATACTGGAACTATTACAGCTTATACATAGCAGAACTCTAGCGCTTTACATACTCCCCTGGAATGGAACATTTTAAATAATTAAAAATCACTACAACGCATTTTAATACATGGTAGGCTCAAAAGATCCCTTGCACGCATTTCATGCTGTGAATCAGAAGTGAATTACCTGGACCTCAGATATCCCCCAGTTGTTCAGTGGTGGGATTCAGCCAGTTCGCAGAAGTTCGGGAGAACCGGTTGTTAACTTTCTGAGCAGTTTGGAGAACTGGTTGTTGGAAGAAATAATTAGGGCAGAGAACCGGTTACATTATTTGAATCCCACCACTGCAGTTGTTCCACTAGAAATTTGTTCACTATCATTTTTCAGATGAAAAATACATAACAACTGTTCTGTATTTCTGAAATAAAACCATAAACCTCCCTCTGGAAATACGAAGTCTTTATTTCCTTTATTTTAGAGTGTGTGCATCCTGTAAATCATAATGATTTTTGGAGTTACTTAATTGGTGGCTTTGGGGGTATGCCAGACCCTCTTAAAAGATAGCTTGGATTCTACAGTGCTTTCTTGTGCATGGGAGGAGGATGGGAGGGGCTGTCTAATTTATTTTGGGCAATGAACACAATCATGGCAGTATGAACAAGCATTTTATATGAAGCAAATTTCATAAGAAAAGTTCTTATTCAACGTTCACTTTCTTTTTATTTAATTTTGAAGCCATAAAAAATGCACAGCTATATAAAGCTTAATTTGTTGAGCAAACTACAGGTATCAAAGTATCCTGTTTATTATTACTTACCATCCTGCAAAAGGCTGCTTTTGCAACTATAAAAACATCCCATAAAATGTATACATTAACCTGTCAGCTTGTATGCCTTCTTTGATGTCTTTGATTTGATACTTGAACCTGTTTTCGTTTTCAGGAAAAAAATGTTTTCAATCTTAAATGGTATGTTTAAGCCACGTCTTGAGCACTGGGCTACAGTAGGGGAGGGGGAGGAGAAATAGAGACAGGATTTGCCACTTTAGTACATAAGGTCAAGGATCAAATTGTTACAGTACCTTTTGCTGGTTGGATGTTTTTACACAGTGTGCCTTTTAGTGAAAAGAAAATAACAGCACCAAACCTTTTAAGGATGAGTTTGTCATGCAGTGACTTGAGACACACTTGGTGACATAAACAGACCTTAGTGGCTTAGAACAAAATGGAAAAGAAACATTGTTTGCAGTGTTCACTTGTACTTGCATAAAATGTAAACCATGGCTCATTCCAGTATAGCAGCAAATTAATTTAAACCTGGAATCAGCATCTCCCTTGGTAGTGTTAGGATAGGGTGGCAGGGTTATTTCTCTGTCCAGCCTACCTTGGATCTATTGATATATGGTATCAATATTTGGTATGTAATTGAAGGAGCTTTCATGTTTGATAACATTCCATATACCCCAGAGTCTGCATTGAGTTTGAGGGAATTAAATCATGATGGGCTTTATAAAGTAATGGGGTAAATTAGAATATAGACACATCCCACATTATTTGTGATCCTTCAGGATTTTATGTTGACTAAAATATCCATAGGCCAATCTGATTATTTTAGTTTGCCTTTGGAAATCATTTGCAAGCCATTATAAAATGGCTTACTCCCAGATTCTTGGCTTGGCCTGTTTCTTTGATGTTACATTCCAATATAAGCAAATCATTTCCCCCAACTCTCTAGATTTTTTTATTTTATTTTACTTATATTCAGTATATTTATTATACTGGGATCTAATAGCTGCATTCTGTTTTACAAGATATGATGAAGTCCCTTACTTAAGCAGTGGCTAGATGGGTGCTGTGAATATTTGTGATAACAAATTGAAGCTCTGAGTAAAAATCCTACTAACCTATTTCTGTGCAGAGTTTTGGCCTCAGAATATCATTTTAAAGCTCAGTGTACTGTAGCATTGTACAGTTTGCTTTCAAGTTCTACTGTTTATTTAGTTCCCAACTATAAGAACCGTTGAAAATGCTGTCTCCTCTAGCAGCAAGCAAAGCTTTCTGGAATCCGCTGTTTTCAGGAATAATTTGTGGGCTATTTTGAAAACCAGTGTTATAACCAAAGCCAGTTTATTGAAATTGAACAAAACAACCTGGAGTCAGTATAATCTTTGAATCATCCACATAGAATTCTGAGGCATTAATTGCAAGATGGTTTTATTTGGAATGTCAAGAAGATAAGTCAATCTTTATCCCTGCAATTATCCTTTAATTTATTATTCACTTTGTAGTGCTCAGTGCTTTCTGAAAGGGACCTTTTTCTCAGTGTTATTAGAGTGATTTGAATTTTTGTTTAGGTTCAATTGTTTTATATGGGTTGTTGGGATTTTTTTAAAAAATAGATGTGATTTCCTCCCACCCCTCAAAATGGGCAACATACTGGAAGATCAGAAGATTAAGCGGTTGAAAGAATATTTAAGCATTATATAAAACAGTGCTTACCGAGTTGTCATCATCTTACAACTTGAATAGTGGCTGTAATCTTTAATGTCTCCTATTAGATAGATAAATGATAGATAGATAGATAGATAGATAGATAGATAGATAGATAGATAGAT